GATGGGGGTTATTAGGAGGCCATGATTGGTAAGAGCCAATGGGAAATCTGGCCAGGACGCCGGGGTAACGCCCCTATTCTTTTCGAGAAACGCCCTGGGATTTTAAGTGACCACAGAGAGTCAAGACCTCACTTTTATGTCTCATCAGAAGGATGGCGCCTGTTTACAGTATAGTGTCCCCATCACTATACTGGGGCATTAGGACCCACACAGACTGCAGGGTGAGTGCCCCCTGCTGGTCTCACTAACTACTCTTCCGATTAAAATGTAATTTCCCACGTACCTGCGAGTAGCTGCTGTTTCTCGATGCAGCCCACGGTCTCTTGGACTCCAGGCTCTCGTCCTGTTCTCGCTCAGGACGTGGGTGGGCGGCGCACAGCCCTGATCCTTGTGGAGAGCTGGAGTGCTGGCAGGCGGCGTGGCCTGCGTGCTGCAAGAAGAGAGGAAGGACGCGCCGCGCGCTGCACCCGGCGGGCGTGTGGGGCGTGAGGAAGGGCCGGCTTTCTGTGCGTGGAAGCACACACAAGCCGCGCAAGGTGGTGGTGGAAGTACCATGGTCCGCATTCGCTGCGTCTACATCTCGCCACATGACGACCCAGCTGAAGAGCGCAGAACTGTGCTGCTTGTGAGAGGAGGCCCGAGCTGCCCTCCACTGCGCCCCAGGCCCGAGGCCGGAGTCTTCTGCCGGTTTTCTGCGCACCTCAGTCCTGCTGTTTGCCGATATGCTTGCGAACGGTGGCGCATTTACTCTCCCAGGCTGCTGACCGAGACGTACTGGCACTGCTGTTCACCAGCATACAGGCGTGTGTAGGTTATCGCAGTGTACGACAGTCTGGAGAGGGGCATTCTAAAATAATGATGGTCAGTAACAACAAAAGGCTGTTTCACATGCAGTGACTGGATTGTATTAGGGAGGTATGTCACTGTAAAATAAACGCAGTCCAGGACACTTTGGATTCATAATATAGAGTGCTATAAAACCAATGTTACTGTGTGTTGTTTAAAACTTGAGCTGTATTTTCTACAGGTGACTAGTGTTTTGTAGGTTACAATGGTTAATGTTTCACAGGATGTAGTGGTTAGAGTTTTCAGAATAATTTTAACTCTCCTGTGAGGAGTTGCTCTGTTTCATATAGGCTATCGACTGTAAAATACAGAGTTTCTGGGCAGCGTATCCTGCTTAAAAGATTTGTAAACCTGCTGTTCGATTTTTATAAAATCCTAACATATATATTCAAAGCCAGAACTTTATCTCCACTGCTGTATATGTAGCTAGAACTGCAGTTTGTTTCAAACACCTTTCAGGTGCCCCATGTCTTAGGAAATGTTTGGACCCCTGTGTTCTTTAGGTAAAGCGCTAATCGGAGTGTTACTAATTATGCTCAAGTGATGTTATCAAGCAGAAATAAAACTGATATGTTCATGTGATGTACTTTGTTTAAGAACCTGCTTTATGCTGGGGTTAAAAATTTTAAGTTTGAGGAGAGTCTTAAACGTTGATGAGCAATGGAAACATCGATCACGGTCCGCATCGTAAAGAAGCGTTTTTTTGCTGTTGTTGTTTTTACTGCATTATCATTATTTGAGAGTTAGCCGACTCTTTCCATGTCTTTGAAATATATACTGTATTGGCCTCAAGGACAGTTGCTGGAGAATGCTGTGATTGTGATGGACCTCAGCGATCATGGGCTTTTTTTAAGGTTCATTTAACAGATTTCCTGTACAAGCTCTTTGTTCTCTGTATTTTGTTCCTGAAACTATTCTGAAAGTTTTAAAATAAATTAATAATTTATATGAATGAAGAGCAAGTGTGTGAAGATTCTCTGTGTTCATGATGAACGCTATTTCAGAGAATTGTCCTGCTCTTTTAGTAGTTCATGGGTGCAAGAGAGAGGAAGTCCTCTTGCTTTCTGAATTCATAAGCTCCTCAGACACATCTTGTGCTTATATGACTGTCATTGAAAGATTTGTTTTAAAAATGTCTTGTTTTCTTTGCCTTTTGCAGCTTTTTGGACAGAATTGACTCAGTAAGACAGAATGACTACACACCAACAGATCAGGTAACTAATAAAACTAAATAAAAATGTTTTTTTTACATGTGTATATATCTCTACTGAGAGGCCATAAAATACTATGAGGTCCTCTTAATTATGCAGCAAACCCTTGGGACTTTTTTTGTTGCCAATGTGAGTTTAAAATAAGTGTCTGGGGAATATTTTGCTGTATGCAATATTTTGTGAAGTGCATTTAAAACAGAACAGGAGGCCTTTCTGTTACACCAAGGGTGGTGGGAGACTGGAACAGGCCGTCCAGTCATGCTGTTGAAACGGGTTACCTGGCTTCTTTAACTTAATAGCTGGATGAGATCCTGGGATCAATTAGCTACTGAAAGAATAAGCGAGATGGGCTGAATGGCCTCCTCTCATTGGGAACTGTCCTTATGCAGTTATGAGAGCGATGCTATGTAGCAGCATTGCCAACAGGTATACAGGAGTCACAGTAATAGAAAAAGGCTTGTGGACCTGTCAGTAGGTTGAAAGATGCCATAAGCCATGTGCGTTGTACACATCCCAGCCATGTAAACACAGTGCATTAATAAGAACCTAGTGCATCATGCACAGAGTGTTAATGAGGTCCTCATTCATCTGCAATGTTCCACAACTGTCAATCATGGAGATGAGCCTGGGATCAGGAATGCCTGGATGTCACTGGAGTCTTAATGTCCACTGCCAGCTGTTTTACATCCGATGGTCTTGCTGTAAGGACAAGCAGCAGTTCTTTTGATTTGATTATCCTTGTCCTGGTAGCCCATGTCACCGAAACAAGACAGGACTGGAACATTTCTAGTCATGTTCTGTAGGCTAGAGAGTTTATTGCTAATGATTGAGCTAGGACTTGAAACAGGCCAGTTAACGACAAAGCCATTCACAGATGTTGGCATGCTGTGCCTTGTGGTGGCATAGGCTTTATTATGGGCAAATCTTTAATATCACTATCTCCTGGCATATAAATGTTGGCCACCCAACGGAGGATCAGAGGATGAGTGGAGGTGTAGGGTTGTTAGTGCTCATTTTCAGTGTCCTGTTCAGTAGTCTGACCACTGTTAGGGCAGCCTTGATACACAGATCGCTTTCCTACCCCCACAGAGTCAGGGATAATAATAATAATACTTGATTTAACCAGATTCTCATTTACAATGGCAGACTGGCCTAGAAACTTGGTCCAGTGCTACACAGAAGGCAAAACCAAGAAAGAGAGAGAAAGGCACTCAGAACAAAAAAAACGCAGGCGTTCCTTCGGACACACTATGTTCAAGTGTTGGGTTGACCATCACGATCTCTGAAATTGAACCCAGCTGAACGCCTGCAGGAAGAGTTATCTTTCCAGGCCTGCAGCATCATTGACCATCCGTCCTGAAAGCACCTGGGAGACATCTGTCAGGGCACAGTGTTGTCACGTGTCTTACTAGGCATCAGTGGCCTCTGCGTGTGTTCATGGTGTCTGCTAACCTCACAGCCAGCAGGGGGCAGTGTGGGCGGTGTGGTTATTTCCTCAGCTGATTGCATTGGTTCACTCAATTTCTACCCTGTGAGCCTTCATCAAGCCATGAAAGAACTTCTCTTCCAGAATGGAGTTTTTATTGGATCACAGTATGACGATGTAAATACTGCCTAATAACAGATACTGTTCTGTTTCCTCAAAATGAGCCCGTTCTCTGCTGAAAGATTTTTTCAGTAGAAGGTATTTCAATTTCTTATAAAAGAGAGTCTTCATTTTGATATTTAATGACTTCAGTAATCTTAGTATATTATAAATCACTAATTGCAATCTAATTTGATAGTAACTTCAAAAATGAATGTTTGGTCTGTGTTTTTCTTTTCATTACATTTTAACAAAAACTTTTCAAGCTTCTGATCTTTTTCTGATTTTTTTTCCTGTACTCTAGGACTTGCTTCGATGCAGAGTTTTGACATCAGGGATTTTTGAAACACGATTTCAAGTAGACAAAGTTAATTTCCAGTAAGTACATTGGTTTTGTCAGAATGTTTTCACAAGAGATTGTCGGGGTCTAATGACCTGTACAGAGGCGCATTAATCATCTGGCTTGATCTTATTAGTGTTTGCAACACTATGTTCATGTCACTTCAGATTGTTAGAAGCAGTCTTACTGGCTTTTCAGTTCAGCTAAACAACCAAAAGAGGCTTTATGTATCCTGAAACGTCACTAGAAGTGTTTTAGTCTGCAGGAAGTAGATTTATCATCGGGTTACACTGCTGTGTGGGTGGTATTTGTTTTTGTGTTGTAGCACAGCCTGACCCATGCATGTGGTTTCCCCTGTTCTTTGCCATAGATACCATGTGCCTGGAGCAAAACATTTCAGTCGCTTAGTGCTAAATCCATCTTGGTTTTTTCTCTGTTTAATAGATTGGCTGCTTTTAATACATTTTATTTGTAGGTTTAAAAATTCAGTGACTAAAAGACCATAGTAGTTAGGTGTTCTTGCCTTTGTACTATGACTGCAGGAGAGAAAAGTTCTTTGTCTTTTGAACTTTCCCGATGTGGTTCGACAGACTTTTTGCCTCTGTGACCAGCTAGTTCCACCTGCAGTCCCTGGTGACTATGATTGAGGATCACTGCAGAGGAGCTGTAACCACACAGTTTCTCCACTAGGGGGAGCCAAAAGCCTTTCTGCTCATAGCAATTTAAGGAAAACAGGAAGCCAAGCTGTTCCTCCCTACAGTACACCTTTGAGACTTTTATGTTCCTTCTTATAGATTCTTTATAGAGCCGTCGCTTAAAATTATGGTGTTTTAAATTGATCATGCTTCAGATGCTTCCAGAAATTATAATTATAATATAATTTCAAATTAACAGAGCAGCAATATCTTTAATTCAAATGGTGAGGTGAATTAAAAAATAATAATAAACATTTAAATTGTTTAAATGCCTTTATCACCCATACATTCTTTGGGGGAGATTTTTAAATAAATTCTGTACATTTCTGTGATATTATTTTGTTATTTGTATTTAGCAATTGTCTTATTTCTGTGTTCATTGTGGTATATTATGATGATGATGATGATGATGATTGGATTGCAATTACTATACAGAGGTTTGAGAAGACAAAGCCTTTTTCTATTCAGAGTTATCTAACTAGGCATTAAATGTTTTGTTTCGTGCAGAATTAAAGAACAACGCTCCTAATAATATACGTACAATAGCCGCACATACAGAAACTGTACTGTACATACAGTGTCCTATTGATCGCCAGCACTGCTGTAATTCCCTGCCTGTTCTTTCTTCACAGCATGTTTGATGTGGGCGGTCAAAGAGATGAAAGGAGAAAATGGATACAGTGCTTTAACGGTGAGTTGGGGAAGTCTGATCCGGTCAGGACAAGTGTGGGTGTGCTGCCTTCAAGCGTGTTCCACTCCAGACTCTTCATACTCTTTTCTTCCCGGGTGTGCTGATACTGTATAGATTACCAGATGAGTTTTCTGTATGGGTACGGGTTTTGGCACATGCAGTATATAGGTGCATCAACATTAATAACACTAGCTTCACCTTTGTAGAGGCTCAATGCTGCACTAATGACTGTGTTTACTCCTTTTGTACTGGCAGCGCCTGATGGCCTTGCACTGGTGCTGAGCCACGGTTTCCTCCCTAGCGCAGGCTCTCTCTTTAATAATAATAATAATTGCTTACACTTATATAGCGCTTTTCTGGACACTCCACTCAAAGCGCTTTACAGGTAATGGGGATCCCCTCCACCACCACCAATGTGCAGCCCCACCTGGATGATGCGACGGCAGCCATAGTGCGCCAATTTATAGATGGGGATTATTAGGAGGCCATGATTGGTAAGGGCCAAAGGGAAATTTGGCCAGGACGCTGGGGTTACACCCCTACTCTTTTTCGAGAAACGCCCTGGGATTTTTAATGACCACAGAGAGTCAGGACCTCGGTTTTACGTCTCATCCGAAGGACGGCGCCTGTTTACAGTATAGTGTCCCCGTCACTTTACTGGGGCATTAGGACCCACATGGACCTCACGGTGAGCGCCCCCTACTGGCCTCACTAACACCTCTTCCAGCAGCAACCTTAGTTTTTCCCAGGAGGTCTCCCATCCAGGTACTGACCAGACTCACACCTGCTGAGCTCCAGTGGGCTGCCAGTGGTGAGCTGCAGGGTGATATGGCTGCTTCTTTAGGGTTGGTGTCCTTCCTCCGTATTCAGGTGCCTGAAAGTGGGCGTGGGGACTCTGACAGCCATTGGCAAGTTTGTTAGTCTAAGGGACCGGTCTCATCCCTTTACTCTTCAGCGCGGGTGGAAGGAAGGGCAGAGGGCCACAGCTGCCGGCTTGTCCTCCCAGAGCAAAGGTCTGTTAGGGTCAGTCTGACACCTCTGTGTAGTGAAGTGTGAGGTCCTCTCGAGCTCCAGGAGGGAGAGTCCTGAAACCGTATTTTCACACACCACCTCTCAAACAGTCTTCAGATATGAGCCCAAAAGGGAAAGCTCAGGAGCCTGTTTAGAAGGAATTCCGCTAAGTCACTATAAAGTATCCCTTTTAAAAAAAAAAAACTTGCAGTTGAAGTATCAAATGAACAAATTTGTGTATCCTCAGAATCCAAAAGTAAGTTATAGTGTGTGCGTCGTTCCTTCTAGATGTCACGGCTATTATCTTCGTTGTGGCCAGCAGCAGCTACAACATGGTAATAAGGGAAGACAACAACACGAACAGGCTACGAGAGGCGCTGGATCTTTTCAGAAGTATCTGGAACAACAGGTGAGGCATCCCTTGTGCGCCTGCGTGCCGGTGGGCAGGTAGACCGGGGGCCCTGAGGCCCCCAGCGGTGGTGTGGGTGACGTCATCGGAGCCGACGCTCGGGTGGGGTGGGCCGCTGGAGGAGCCGGGGGTTGGATCTCCTGCTTCGGCAGGCCGCCGAGGGCCGCGCCGCGACATTACCGCCGTGTCTCCTGCTGCCTCGCGCGGGTCTCGGAACAGGTTCGCGATTACACCTTGGAGGTTCGTTTGTAAGCGGTCGGTCGTGCAAGAGAGCAGACCTGAGCCTTCCCTCTCTCTTTCCCTAGGTGGTTACGGACCATTTCAGTCATCTTGTTCCTGAATAAACAAGACATGCTTGCTGAGAAGGTATTAGCAGGGAAGTCCAAAATTGAAGACTACTTTCCTGAATACACGCGTTACACCATACCAAATGAAGGTAATGTTCTGTAAAGTCTTGGTCATAAGAAAGTGGTCGGCCCTTTTGACTATATCGAGTGAAATTTGAAATATAGCAGCTGGTGCTCTTTTAAGTAGTCCGGACCCACCACTAAATTTCACATACAGAAAAAAGACCAATTCTGTAGTCAGGTACTGCAGAACGTTGGTGACCATCTTTCCAGTCCTTGTCCTCAAGTTTTCCGATCTTAAAAATGTTCGTTCCACAGCTGTGACCACTGTCAGAAGATATATGAACTGAGGCATTTGGAAACTACAAGTACTCCACTGTCTTTTTAAAATGCTCTGTTGTGACTGTAAGCACAGGCAGTGTGGTCATTTGATTAGGGAGTACATAGGAATTTATAGCAAGGATGCATAGGTGGGAATCTTTAATGAAGATCGGAGGTGTAAGTAAAAGACAATTCAGTCCTCACCTCCCACAGTCTGAGCAGCAGGCGGTCACCGTTATCTACTGGCAGAATCTGGGAATTATATATATATGAAATTGGACTTCATTGTTGTTATAATGAACTGTAAAATGTGCTTTTAGTGATAAGAATGCTATGATATTGACATATTTTTACAAACATTGTGTCCCTAATTCTAATTACTGAAATTATACATGTTTTGACAGTTTAGTAGTTTTCTTTATGTGAATGAAATATGTAGTTTAAAAAATCTGAACACCTGTGATTCAGAATGGTCATTGGTCACAGCACAGCAGTTTATACTGCTGAGTTACAACAGAAAAATATAAGTCGCTCCTTAAAATGTGTTGGATTTTGAGCATTCATCTCCTCTTCAAACAGCAACCCCCGAGCCTGGTGAAGACCCCAGAGTGACAAGGGCAAAGTTTTTCATCCGGGATGAGTTCCTTGTAAGTCCATCTCGACTTATTTACTATAGACCAGATAGTTCTTAGTCCCAGAGTTGAGAACCATTCTCATTAACATTTCAGTTGGTGTTGTGGTTATGTATCGGCCAAACTACCAAGCTGGAGACAATGTGAATATTAGACACGATGCCGAAATTTATTTTATCTCAATAGCATGGACAGTGCTCTCTGTGCTTCCAGAGAAAAAGAAAGCAAATTTGTTTGACAGGTTGGCAGTGTTACTGTGTCCCTGTGAAAATATTATGCGCAGTACCAGAAAATAAACCTTTTTGTCCGAACTGCTCCGTTTAGACTGAAAACCCTTCAGAAGCACAACGCTCGTTGCAGCCTGTATTTCTTAGTAACACTGATACTGACCTGAGTCTGATAGCGCATGGCGGTGCAGGTTCGATTCCAGCCGGGAGGAACTGGGCGCCTCTTCTGTGTCGGCGTTTCCTCCAAGGCCTCCGGCCACCAGCCGCCCCCCAGAGAAGCTCTCGCTGGGTTATAACTGGCATCTGGGAGCGAGTGGTGGGTTCTCCCGGCTCGGGCTCGTCCCAGCCCCGACCTGAACTCCGCCGCTTTCTGAAAGCGGACTGCTCCTCGGGGTCACGCCCGGCTGCGCGTTCCTCGCTGCCTTCCGGTTACGCGTTGAGACCCGCTTGACCGCCCGCGCGCTAGTTCCAGGGTGGCCTTTCCACAGAGGCGCCGGCTTGAATCGCAGTGTTGCGACTCCCGGGGGTAGAGACCTGGAATGTTGCTGGCAGGAATCCCTCAAGGGGGTGTTTGTCCAGGGATTCAAGATTCATCCATCCCCTATCCCTGGGGTCCAGGCGACACCCTCGGTCATCTCCACTCTAGTCAGCTGAATGTTGGGACACCGTAACTGTTGCTATCCTAGACAGTGGCCCTGTATTGTTAGCTTTGCAACTCGGCGTTATGGGGCTGAGTAACTGTAGCGCATGCATCGTCACCCTGAGTGCTAGCATGGGCTGATTCTGGTTTGTCATCCCACGGTTAGAGCACAGTGGTCAAGACGGTGCTTGAAGCAGGAGAGGTTTGCCAGAGTCCGTGTCGGCGCGTTACGGGGGGCGTGGGGCGTTTCGTGCCAGGTTTAGGAGTCATCTTGTTGGTGGTGGTAATCTCGCTTCTGTAGGACTGTCAGCCACGTGTTGAAACGTCTGCTCCAGCAACACCGTCGTCAGCTGTGGCGCCTGATTTTTCGGGACTAGTAATGCTCGTCCCCACGCTGTCGGGGTCATCCAAGACTTTGTGTTTCTGTCTGGGCTTCAATACATACTGACCCACTGTACCTCTGCATCTTAACCAATTTGAATGCCTGTGTGTCAGATTCTAACACAGCTGATCTGGCAGTCGCTTTACAGGTTGAAAGCAAAAAACATTCCTGTGGTCTGTGTGCTAATTTTGTGCCATGCCATTACTGTAGATGTGTACAAGCTAATGACAGCCTCACCAACTATTGATCACTTTGAAGGCAGCATGTGATCCCTTATTATACAGCTTTTGAATGCACTTCTCAGAAATGTGGTGACAAATCAGATGTCTCGGCAACAATTTACAGAATAAACCTAAACCTCTCCTGTTTTCCTTGAATCAGGGGGTTGTGTTTCTGAAGTGTTTCAGCGTTAAATGTGAATATTGCATCAGTAGTCAAGATTGCTTTGGTATTAATGGTGTTAGAAGTTCTGTGATCCCATCAATCATACAAGCCTGAAATAATGAACTCAAGGGTTTTTTTAGTGGGGCCTCATTGCTCTCATTGCTATGTTTCTTTCAGAGGATCAGCACAGCCAGTGGCGATGGCAGACATTACTGCTACCCTCACTTCACCTGCGCGGTCGACACAGAAAACATCCGCAGAGTCTTCAACGACTGTCGAGACATCATTCAGAGAATGCACCTGCGCCAGTACGAACTGTTATGATTGGGAACATCTTGGAACCTGTGGTTTTTAATTCTGTGTTCCTCTCTCTGAAACAAACTAGCCCACACAGGGAGGAAGAGTACTAATGAAGTGTGTCAAATCTTCTTTGTTTTTATTTAAGCCATTCTCAACCCCAATTTTTTTTTTGGAAAGGAGGGTTTGGGGGCTAAGTTGTGTGTGCTTTGTTTTCCATTTGCTTGTTTCATCATTTCCTTTCTTGTCATTCCACTAAGCCTTTGGCTACCTCTGTGTTGCGTTCTTCTTTCCTTTTCTCTGGGCCTCCGGTGGTTTGTTTTGTTCTTGCTGTTGCTGTGTCAGGCCTCGGCCTGCTGACCTTGCCGGCGGGCTAGCGCTGTAGTACAGTACATCCGTATGTACAGTACGCGTCGATCTCCGAGCAGGTTGGCGTTCGCGCGGTGCTCGTCTCTCTCTCCGAGCGGCACCGCCTTCAGACCAATCCCTGTGTGGGTTTCTGCTGTTCTGTTTTCAACACTGAAGAGTACTTGATGGGAAAAAAATGATATAATGCACTTTGCATCAGGTTACTTAATACCGCTGAGGAAGTATACACACAATGTAGCACCACAATATTTATTACTCTGTCACAGTTTTTAGCGTTCCGAGTTGCAGGTCGACTGAGAAATAACTGACCTCCTCTTTTAGGCCGTTGAAAGGCACAGACGTAGAGTAGATAAAAGAGGCACGGTGAAGACGAGAAGCAATTTTTTCTGAGGTTTTTTGGGGCTAAAAGTCTCTGTGCACCTCAGGCCTTGAGCAGTCGCTGCTTTCAGCCTATTGTGTCTAGTAAGAAAAACTACCACACTCACTTTGATCTGTCCACAGATGATCCTTTTAGCTTAGATCTTCTTGGACAATAGTCCTATATATAAATATATATATTATATATTTTTTTTGTTCATTTTTTTTTGTTCTACTGCTGGTTTATTATCTTGTACAGACTGTAAAATGTAATATTATTTTGTACAACTTTATTGAAAAAAGATACTTGTAGAAGATCTTTGTGCCTTGATTATGGCTGTACCTGTAAAATGAGCTAAGATGTAAGTATGTTTCTGATTGTGCTGTACAGCTTGATGTCAGCCCTATCTGCAGGAGTGACCGCAGGTAGGGACTTTCTCTGTAGAGTTTAGTTTTTTTTCTGGTTTATAAAAAAAGGAAATGCTCTTTAGTAAAAAAAAAAATCCTGTATAAATTATGCAAATTAACCACTTACCTACAGTGATGACCAGATGTTGCAGCGACATGCCTTTATTTTTTTCATTTTCTTTTTGATTCTCAGCTTTAAAACATTTGAATCCATTGAAGTGTCCAAATTGCAACCTGGTGTTGTTTTACTAGGAACCAAGTTTTTCCGATATGAAGTATGTGTGAGATATACACACGTGTCTGTGTGTGTGCATGTGTATATTTAAACATACATATACTCACACAGCTGCATTATGTATATGTTAATGCGTCTTTGTGCATGTGTGTGTGTGTGTATATATATACACATGCATACACAAATACAGGAATGAATGAGAGTGTGTTTGGTAATTCTTTGGTCATTCATAGACCTTCACAATTGCACAGGCATATTGTGAATGTGTAAGCACCATTAGATAGGCTCTTAAGTCCTTGTACCAACAGCAGCTTTTATTGTGCAAGTAAATAGTAAGAGAGAAAAATAAGGTGTAAACCCTTGTGTCTGGCCTGAGAGAATTACAAAATGACATTTTTATTTCTCTTTTAATAAAGAGGCACATTAGAAGACTTTGTTTTATTTTAAATAATCATATAATTGAAAAGTGTGAATATTTCTTGAACTTGAATAATTTATGCAAATTACATTTCTCAGAATAAGTTGTGGTACACTGCGATTTAAAGAAAAAAAGCAAAAATTGCTTTAGCAATAAGGCATGTCCTTTTTTAGTAACTATTACACTGCTTTATATTTTATACATAGGTGTTTTATGTCTCTGTGAGTATATCATTTTCATGTGTCCGAGATAACCTGTACAATTTGTACAATGTTTAAAATTACAGTTGCAATAACAGAAACCCAGTTTAGCCTATATTACTTTAATTACTCCATTTTTTATCGGTGCTTGAATTTTTTGCATTACAGTTTTATACACACTTGAGTTTACAGAAACGGTTCTGGCCCTATTAATCCAGAATCCTGCTATTCCCGAAAATCACCCCATCCTATAACGGGTCGTGTCTTCAGGAGAAGCAGCATAAAGGCCTCATGGTTACAGTGCCCTCCAAACATGTTACTCTCGCTTGGCAGTCAGGCGCTTTGTATTTGTAATCATGAGATACATACGACAAATACAATATTATTTTATGTAATTCCAAGCATACATTTGATTTGATCATATTGTAACAAAAACATACTGTAACGCTCCGGGGTTCACATGGGATTACCATTGTCTTTTCTAGAACATGGACACCAAAAGTGTAAACAGTATTCCAAATTATACCTTTAAAGAACGTTATACAATTTTAGCATAACATCCTCTTTTTAAATTCTACACCGTCCGTATATGCGAACATTTTGTTAGCCTTTTAAGTGTTTAGAAGGTATAAACAGTGTGTCGACAAGAACACCCAGGTCTTTCTCATTTATATTTATATGTATTTATATCGTAACACTTTGGGGTTCACGTGGGCGCCCTCGCCTCTGCCGCATCAGGGACTCGCTTTCGTATGGAGAAGAAAATTCTTTCAGATTTACTGGCCGATTCTCCAGCAGGCAAGCGCAGTGGTCATCCGAAACACACGGCCGTCATAGCCAAGGAGGAGAGAAGTGTGAAATCAGCCGGGCCACACGGATCTCGGCTTCCAATCTATCCCAGCAGCAGTTCACATGCTGAAAATAACACACCACGTGTAGAAGAAAACACAGACTGGCCACAGCACAACATCTACAATTCTTACGCAAAGTTTTTAATGAGCACAGTGGGTTGGAGAGTTCATGCGGGTCACCCAAGGGGATGTGCACCCGAACGCTGACTTCTACACTCTTGACATTTAGTTAAAAGTGAATGTGTCCAATCGAGATTAAAAGTGGGCATGGAAAATACCCGATAATAAAAAGCAAGTGTTGTGTACTTGCCATTCATGTCATCACCTGATCACAGATACAAATTGCTTGACTGTAAACCCCCCCCCAACAAAAGTTTTGACGTTGTTGTCCCAGTACTTCTGGAGGTTTGGAAACAAGAAAAGGGAATCATAGGATGAATGAAACCCAGTACTTTGTGCTGTGACATCTTCTAAAAAATTGTGCTTGTTCTGCAAGTCTGTAATGGTTGGTTTAGGTAACTCACACAAAACACTTGTAGTTGGGTATGACTTCAGAGCTCACAGGGACTTGTGCTTGCTCATCAGACAGCTGGCACAGTGCAGCGTGCCTTTAAAGAGGTGGAAGTGAACGAGCGTCAGGACGATCAGCACCGCAGCGCAAGCACAGTAGATGGCAATGACTGTGCTCTCCTGCGGCAGGAAACACTTGGACAGGTTGAAGGTTTCCGATGTAAAACTGCCCTGTAGTGGAAAGAGAGATGAAAACAAAGGTGTTATAATCTTGGGGTACCACAGGGTTAGTTGAGCATCTGATCTCGATGAAAGTCTGTTACATTTCAGTCCACGAAATTCTCCCTTAAAACGCCTCTTATCCAGCAATAACATTTTTTAGACAAACTTGATACAGGAAAGTCTTGACATGTAAGCGGCTCGTCAGATCACCACTTTCAGAGGCTACTGAAGTCCCACACTGAATGCATTAAGGAAAGATTTAAAAGGTCTCAGTGCTAACGGGTTAGTCGTAAATGTTTCCCTGGCTTCCTTCGTGCTGGATGTCTAGATAAGAATCCCAAAATGAATACAAAGTCCAACACAAACATCACGAACAGCCTGTGGGAAATTGGGAAATGTTACTACCCAAGGGGGACTGGTTAGAGACTGTGATAGTACCTTTTTATTTACCGCGGTACTGAAGTATTCTTAAAGTACTTTTTTTTTTAATAGACTTGAGACTAATAGAAAATCCATCAGTACCACATTTGTAAACATACACAGTATGGACTTCAGTATTGAGATCAGATCTCTTTATTGGCCATATACAATTTCTTGTATTAGGAATTTGCCTTTTCACAGACCCCAGCTTGCTCTCCATGAGACACACAGACAGGGAGAGAAGCTGGGGGTCAGAGCACAGGGTCAGCCATTGTACAGCACCTCTGGAGCAGTTGGGGTGAAGGGCCTTGCTCAGGGGCCCAACGGAGTAGGATTCCTCTGCCGGCCACGGGATACGAACCGGCAGCCTTCCAGCCACAGGCGCAGATCCTGAGCCACAGAGCCACCGCTCCGCCCTACACCTACTTCATCATTTAAAGCCTTTTTTTATAGTTTTGATCAGTCGCCTCAGGTGCTGTGGAAAGGAATAAAGGTCCGAATAGAGAAATCACACCCTTGCAGATGTAGTGAAAGGCAATGCTTAATTTCTTTCCCCACAAAGAGTTCATCTGAGGTACGTTCGTGCCTTGACTGCTTCTTCAATAGGGCACCAGCCTGACCAGTTCAGGGCAGTGTGACCAGCTGGAGCGAAGGCACCATTACCAGAATGAAGCTGGGGTTGTTGCGGTTCCGCCAGCTGAAGGAGGGGACGCTGATCTCGGGGAAGAGGTCTTCGTGGAGGACTTCACAGGCGCTGTGTGTGTGGCCGCTGAGAATCAGCCGGGGGCGAAACCACCAGACCAGCTGTGGAGACGCAGCGGAGGGTCGTGAGAGACGCACGCACACACGGGCATCTCACAACTCCTCATTGGGAGCTTCGTTAAAGGGGTTTGTGTATGTCGGGGTTTGAAAGAATGAGGATTGATGAGCGCAAGTACACGGTAACTTGTAAAACCTTCAATTTACATCACCAAATACACTAAATTTCCAGCTCTGCACAGCGCTATGTTCTGCGATTCAGAATGAGACGACAAAACATCCATTGGGTTGAAGCGGTCCCATTACGTTGTAAAGGAACAAATAAAGTTTTATTCCATGCTTACGTTAGTCATTACAGTGACTAGTGAGCAGGAAGGGCAGCTTCATGTCGCACTTTTTTGCAAATTCTCGATTTTGCAAGACCAGACATGGTGGCCATACAGTACTTTCACAAAGTTCACGATTCTGTGCTTAATTCGGATTGTGTAAAATTTGGCTATCCCATTTTTTGTTACCGAAATGTAATAACCGGTCTGAGACATTGGGACTGCGGCTTGCCGCCGATGCAGCTTTTCACAAGAGCGAAAAGACACAACAGTGGGTGTAGATTGACCGAGCTTTCCCGAGTTTAAATGCAGAGACACGAGGAGGCGGTGCATCGAGCAAATCGCAAAACCGAGAACAGATGTTCGAAATACCCTTTGCTTTTAAAACTTAACGCTAAAAAAAAGATGGTCTTATTACAAATGAATTCGCGACTTGAACAGATAAACTTTTGCGCGTATGTCCGTCCTTGAAGTTGTAGTACGAACTGGTTTTGGCGCCAGATGATCTGCGTCCCGTGTCTAAGCGGGCTAGATGCTTCCGCAGTCTACTGATGGTGGGATCCGTCTCGGGGTGCGGGGCTGACCTTTTGAGAGGCGGCCTGGGACAGGACGTCGTACTGCTCCTTGAAAAGCAGGTTCCTCTCCTCCGGGGGCGCCGCGTCCTCTCCGGCACAGCCAGCGTCGTTCGCGCGGTACAGAGGGTAGTGCTGGACGAAGGGGAGAGGGGGGTGAGGGCGCCTGTGCAGGCAGGGCGAGAGGCCCGGAGGTCAGACAGAGTCATGCCGCTGGGGGGTGAAAGCATCGCACAAGCCATGCGGGCCCCTGAACGCGCAGGGGGTCTCACAGCCTGGGAGAGGAGAAGGAAACCAGATCACAAGGTTCAGCCCTGAAAGCTGCAGCCTTTCCTTGTGTCTGTGTTCTGTGTTCTGTGTTCTGTGTTCTGGAGAGCAGAGGGTCCTCAAACACGTGAAGGCCTAGTTTGGAAATATCGATAAGAGACAGGCAGACACCTGTGGTGTTAATTAACTTTCCAGCCTCGGGTGGGGGGGTGTGGCTTGCTTTAATTGCTTAAATAAAAAAAAAGTGAAGTCCACCCGACACCTCCCCACAAACCTTTTACGCGAGTGCGTTTCGATAGCGATGCTTTGGAAGATGTTTTTTCTTTCACTAGGCCCGCAAAGAAGATGTAAAATGACTGTTCACTAATAATAATAATTGCTTACACTTATATAGCGCTTTTCTGGACACTCCACTCAAAGCGCTTTACAGGTAATGGGGATCCCCTCCACCACCACCAGTGTGCAGCCCCACCTGGATGATGCGACGGCAGCCATAGTGGGCCAGAACACTCACCACACACCAGCTCTCAGTGGGGAGGAGAGCAGAGTGATGAAACCAGTTCAGAGAGGGGGATTATTAGGAGGCCATGATTAGTAAAGGCCAGGGGGAAATTCGGCCAGGACACCAGGTTGACATCCCTACTCGATTTTTTTTAATGACCACAGAGAGTCAGGACCACGGTTTTACATCTCATCAGAAGGACGGCGCCTGTTTACAGTATAGTGTCCCCATGATTAATCTGGAGCATTAGGACCCACACAGACCACAGGGTGAGCGCCCTCTACTGGCCCCACTAACACCTCTTCCAGCAGCAGCCTTAGTTTTTCCCAGGAGTCTCCCCTCCAGGTACTGACCAGGCTCATGCTTGCTTAGCTTCAGTGGATTGGCAGTTGTAAATTTCAGGGTAATTGAAAGAACGAAAAAATTAAAGGGCGAACTCTTATCACTGTAATTTGTGTCTGACACAAAGCCACATATTGCTCCTTCGAGGCAGAATCGCTGGTTTCGAATTACCGTAGCTGAGATGTCTCAGCCGTTTGACGCAAGACCAAGAGCTGAGGCTTAACACTGTATAACAGAAGACGATGTAGCAGTAATGCATGAGGACCGACAAATGATCCGTCCACTGGAACACGTTTCGTTTCATTAGTTTAATTTTTTTTTTCACTGAATCGAGTCCAGAGCTGCTACTGCTGCAGCCTACCGCTTGTAAACATTTTGTGGCAACCAATATGCAGCATTAAAAAATATATGATGATTTTTTTGAAAATTAAAATGTACATTGAGAAAATCTGTGTAGCATCACGATTTATGTATTTTAATGGGGCAGAGAAACACTCTAAAAGAGATTTCATCATTATCCTGGTAGCCACAACTTTGTTTCTGTGTGTGATCTTTAAAAGTGAAAACAGTGCTGTTAGGTTATCATAAGTGCTAACCTAAATGCTGAATTATAGCAATTTAAATACAGAAAACATTTTTACGCAGTATACCTTTATACAACACTCAGCTGAATACAGAATTGACATTATGCCTTCAGAAAAGTACTCTGATGACTTTTGCGTAGGAAAGTGCAATGGATGTGGCATCTAAAATAATTCATTTCATACGTGTGGCTTGTTATGAGGGCGAAACGTGATTCTGTTTCTTTTACTCAAAACCGATGGAAAATACCAATCGCCACTGTCTATTCGTACAGAACACGTGCCCTTTGGGAGGAGAGACCTGGACCTCCCCTTCAGAGTGGCAGGAGGACTGTGAGATGTGTCCACTAGGGGGAGCCGGTGGTTAGGGTCTGACAGGGTGTGCTCAGTCTAGCACAGGACTGGAAGCAGGGAAGAGGGCACAAACTGGCCAGGCAAGCTGACACTGAGGGCATGGAGGATGAGAGAGCAGATGGCACCACACATAGACACACACCGCAACATTTGTTATCCAGCTTTCAAACAGTGGTCCCTTCCCAGAATGCACCTCCAGGAAGGCCAAGCGAGCGATGGTGCTGGGAAAGCTGTATTGCCTCCTGCACAACACATGGAGCACTGGGGAAGGAAAGAATACAGGGGTTTACAGCCCTCGCCCCACCCTCACAAGGGGGTCTACTCCTGTGGCGGTATCTTTCTCAGAGCCCCTCTTCAGAAAGGTCATCTCTTTCTGGGAAGGTGGCTCACACGTGTGAATTCCACCTGCTGAAGCCCAAACCAAAACCAGTCCTTCTGCGGAGAAAAGGCGGCCGATTGAGAGACGCGACCAGTACGGCCGCCTGCCTGCTCACAGGCTCGGGTTTGAGCCGTGACTGTGACCACCGTGGAGCTCTCTCAGGTCTCAGCGACACAGAGACCCCTCTGGGACTGCCTGTCAGGCCCTGCGGCGCTCCTCCCCTCAAGGGACTGTCAGGGTGGAGATGCTGAAGAATCGGGGCTCTTTCACCCTCGTGGGTAACCACTCCATGATAAACGGGGCTTTTTTTTTAAAAACATGGGCATAAATCCCACCCTGTCGACCAGCCAGACGGACCCCCCGCTAATGTCCTACCTGAAGAATGATGGGGCGAGATGAAGGAAGCTTTCTCACATCACGGCAGCGCTCTCCCATGGAACCGGCCTGCGAGGCGGAAACAGACTTCATTTCCCTCTCGTTCACATCAGCTCCTCATGCCTCAGTAGGACAGATTTCAGAACATTATTATTTGGTATAAGCTCTCTTTCTAACCTCCCTATGACTTCCCACACCTGAAGAAGGCTCCACGGCCGAAACGTTGTGTTCTCTTTCTTCTTTTTTTCAGCATGGAATAAACCTATTACTTGTTCTTCTTCTTATTATTATTATTATTATTATAGGTGGGTAGCTGCGTCAGCATGCGTAGGCTG